GTCCCCCGGCTGGGTAGTGGGTGCAGACGCTGCTGTAGAGCTGCATGTCCCTGCCCGCCGCTCGGCCCCTTATAGGCGAGGCGAGCCCCCGAGAGAGGGACACACCCTCCGGGCCCGGGGGAGGGGGCCGGCCGAGCGCGATGACCCAGTGCCCCTAGAATAGAAATGACCGAAGGGCAGCCGGCTGCCGCGCGTCAAGAGCCGCAAATAGCGCCCAGGTCCCGGCCAAATTCCTGCTGCGCCACAGCGCACGGTGGGGGCGGGGAGGGGACGCGCGCTCGACCCCTGCCGGTGCGCTCGGCCCGCAGCCCCGGGGCGCCGCGCCCGCTGCCGCTGCTCCGGCCCGCGGCGGCCGCTTGAGACTCTAGGAGGAAGCCGCCCGCCCCGCTGGAGCGCGTCCCGCCGGCGAGAAGCAGTGCAGGGCGCGCCGGGGGCCGGGAGGCGGGGCCGCGGTTGTTTACCTCAGGCCTCGCGGCCGCGTCACGTGAACCCTCTGGAATGTGCTGCTCCTCGCGCCGCTTCATTCAACTGCGCGGGCTCGCCCCGCCCCCTCCAGCCCGCGCCCCGCCCTGCCCCGCTCAGTGGACGTCACGGGCGTGGCCTGCGGCGAGCGCGCGCGCGCGCGGGTTTGGGCCGAACGCGCCGAAGCTCCGGCGCCTGCGCAGTCGCAGCGTTCCAGGCCGTCTCCAGAGTGGACTCCAGCGGACAGCTTTCCCCACCTGAGCCCCGGGTTTCCCAGCTCCACCCATTACTTCGGCGGCTGCTGCCCCAGCGGCGGCGGATCGCGGCGGGGTGGGCACTGCGTGAAGCAAGCTACAGTGCTCGGAAAGCCTGCGTTTCGAACAAAGCCTTCGGGCTGGGTGTGGAAGACCGAGTGCTGCCTTAAAACCTGTGTGACCTGTACATGGTCGTGGGCCACTGCTCCTGCTGGCGTTCACCACTGGCATGCACCTTTTCTCCGATTCAGTTCATCGGATTCACTCGTTAAGGTCTCGTCTTCCCTGCTAGCGGAAACTTAACTTTTCTGTACCTTTACCCCATGCCAACTGATACGGGCAAAAGGAAGGAAACTTTGGATTTTTCTCAGTATGCAAGGTCATACCATCTTGCACCTTTTGAAAATGTAGATTCGAGCCACAGGTCAGGGGCTAGGGAAGCTGCGACCTGCGTTTCCCGGGCGGTGTGGAATATTGAAAACACTTCCACTGAACTACGTTAGTAATGATCCCCTTTGTAAATGAAAGCCAGAATATTTCATCAACCACGCACTGAGTTTTGTGGTGGGTAACTTTTGCTCTACCATGAGCTTTGATCAAATGCTAAATTAACAGGCCCTAAACATTCAATTTAAACCTGGAAGCTATCCCATTGTTTTAGAAATGGGGAAACTGAGCCTGTTAGTTGTAGTATAAGCTTCACCCCACCTTTCCACTGAAATGTAAATTTCCATGAATGGAAGACTTACCTTGTTTTCTACTGGATTTCCATCCTCTAGGACAGTCTCTAGGACATAATTGGAGCTAATTAATATTTACTAAGTGAATGAATAAATGGAACACGAGCTCCCAAGTTTTCTCAGACAGTGGGGAGGGCAGAATTACTATCCATTTCTCTTGACTCTAGCCAAGGCTTTTAATTTGCTATGGGTGTATTATTGGCAAGAGCCCAGCTATAGTCATTCCAACCGGTTAGATGAATTAACTAAGGAGAAGGTAACTGACTAGACTCTTTGAAAATTCTGGGGAGCTTGGAGGCTCCATGGTTGATTAGAAAGGGAAATTATTGTACTTGGATTTTATCACCCATTTGTTGAGTATTTGTTGCTCTGTGCATTAAGCACTCTATCCTTCATCTTTCAGTAGCTGGTGTTTTGAAGCAGGAGACAAGATTATTATTACTAACAATAAGACAATTGTCAAATAATATTTACCGAGTTCCAAATATGTACCCAAGAGGGTTAACATAACAAGAGCCTCTTAGAAGGAGAGAAAAAAATATTAGAATTTAAGTCCTAAAGCAAGAATGGGTTTTTAACAGGTTGGGGTAAACACAGGGAAAAAAACAACAGGTTACCTCTGTTGTACCAAGTCAGCAACAACCAAAAACAAAGATGTGGAAATTCAAAACTTTCACATATGTGGTGTTTTTTTCCCTTTTATTTTTTTGTTGGACAGTAGACTATGCAAGTCTACGTATTGGATGTTGGAATCGGTGCCCACGTTGTACCTCAGTCTGGAAAGTCTTCTTGGAGGAGGTGAAACCAGAAATTCTTCAAAGCAGGAATCATAAACGGCTTGGAATCCAGTTTTCTGCCCTTGGAAGCTAAGGGGAAGCAAGGCCTCACAAGTGATACCAAAGGCAATTAGGGTAGGGAAGAGAAGGAGGCAAATCTGATTACTTCAGCAATCTCCTTGATACTTTTTCAGATGTGAAGGTTTAAATTGTACACAAAGAAGTACAATGTATGTGGATATTTACTATGCATTAGGAAATGAGGCATTGAGAAGACAGGAAGAAAAGAGATTTTCATGGTCCCTGCCCTATAAAGCTTGCAGGAGCAAATGATGACTAGAATTTGGCTTCTGATGGTAAACACTATTAAAACATAGGCAAGTTTGTTCTGTTCTGCCTAGTTTACTTCTGAATACGTAAACTGATTCATTGAAGTTTTTCTTTCTTCCTAATTCTAAAAGATCTGTAACACTATTCCTAGAAGTTTTATAAGAGCACTGGGAATCTTGCAAGATGGAGGTAATTTCATAATGCACCACACTTTAGCAAAGGCATGACTTCGTAGGTAAGGGTGATGAAAAAATAATGCAATCAGCAGGCCAATGCTAAACAATCATGCCAAGGTTGTTAACCTCAAGCCGCTTCCATTACAATATGGAAGATAAGGCCAAGAACCATTTGTGTGTGGGGGGAGGGGTGAGTTTACATAATCATCTTGAATAATGTAACTAAAACTAATAAGCATGATAAATTGCCACATGATTAGAAAGACTGAAGAGATATAAATATTCAGGGTGAAGTTATTTTATTCTGGATAATTTACATGACTACTAACCCCTGTCAGCTGTAATATTATAGAACAAGGGTCCCAAAACTCAACATGGAATATCTGTTAAAGTTTTTAAAATGTGGTAAGACCATAATTGTAATTAAAAAAAGAAAACCCTGTGCAAAGAAGCTGAATCTATATCTTGAAATAAGCACTAAATACATCCTGTTAAGTTGGGGAAAAAAAGAATCTCTAATGATTCCATTCTTAGAAAATCATCTGTCCAACATATTTTGGTGCTGTGCAGAAAACTGGTGGAAATTTAGGAAAATAGTATTTTAAACCAAAATTGCTTAGTTATTGTATGGGCTAGAAAAACAGGAAATGTTAGCAACTGTCAGCCAAATGGTAGCAACAACAAAACCAATAGATTAAAACAAAAGAGAAGGGACAGGGTATTAATCAATGAGTATTTATTGAATACCAGCTATGCCAACAGCAGTGGTGCCAATTATAAAGAATTCAGAAACATTCTGTCATGCAGCTCAGGCAACAGAAACTTCACCACCAAAAGCATCTTTATAAAATAGAACTAATCCTGGCATTCTTAAAAAGGGACATTCACCTGAATTTTACCATCTCTTAGCAATATTCCTTTAGAAATAATATAATTCGCAACTTCTTACCCTTTGCCCCTGAGATAATAAAAACTTTTAAAAACTCCTCTGTTTTTTCTTTACTAATCATTTCCTTATAAACTTGTTCTTTCAAAATCTTGAAAAAAAAAACCAAAGTTGGGGAACTCATGCTTCTTCTAAGTTTTAAAACTTACTATTAATACAAAGCTACCTTCATCCAGATCATATGCCACTGGCATAAATATAAATACACACCTCAATGGAATAGAATTGAGAGTCCAGAAATCCGTTATGTTTATAGTCAATGGACTTTGGCAGTATATGCCATTAGGGGGAAGAACTATCTTCTCAACAAATGATAATAGGACAACTGGATGTCTACATGCAACAAAGTGAAATTGGAGCCCTGTCTCACAACATGCCTGAAAGTTAACTCAAAATGGGTCAAAAATCTAAATGTAAGAGCTAAAAGTATAAAACTCTCAGAAGAGATAATAGACATAAATCTTTATGACCATGGGTTAGGCACTGGTATCTCAGATCTGACACTAAAGGCACAAAGTGCAAAAGAAAAAAATAAGACATTATCAAAATTAAAAATCTGTGTGTGTCAAAGGCCATCATAAAGAAAGTGAAAGGAAGACCTGGAAAAAGAGAATGCATTTATAAATCTGATAAGGGACTTGTATTCAAAATATATAAAGAAGTTTTATAGGGCCAGTGGATGCAGTGGCTCACGCCTATAATCCTGGCATTCTGGGAGGCAGAGGTGGGTGGATAACCTGAGCTCAGGAGTTTGTGACCATCCTGAACAAGAGTGAGACCCCCATCTCTATAAAATAGCTAAGCCCCTATAGTCCCAGCTACTTGGGAGGCTGAGGCAAGAGAATTGCTTAAGCCCAAGACTTTGAGGTTGCTGTGAGCTGTGATGCCATAGCACTCTACCAAGGGTGACATAGTGAAACTGTCTCAAAAAACAACAAAAAAGAAAAACCACAATGAAATATACTTTACACCCACTAGGATGGGTATAAGAAAGACAATTGCAAATGTTAATGAAAATGTGAAGATATTAGAATCTTCACATATTGGTATGGTATTATAAAATGGGGCACTTCTTAAAACAGTTTGGCAATTCCTCAAAAGGTAACA